ATTATAAATTTATAATTTTTTATAACATTATAATTATAATATTATTAATTTTTTATTAGATTAAACCTATCTCTACTGGTATAGTTGAGAGAGATTTGTATGTTGCACGCACTACACGAAGACAATCAACGAAAACGAAAGAAATTGAGAAAAAGAAGACTAACTTCAAGCAATTACTACAAAAATGGAACTCTGATTGGAAAAAGAAATACCCCCTCGCCGGGTGTTGGACACGTGGAAATATTACAGTGCGGACCTTGAGTGTTGAGAATCATATAGAATGATGGGTTATTTGGATCAGTTGTTTTTCTTTTTTTTTTTAACTCAGCTAAAATCATATAATTTTATCAATGTCATATAATATCTATATAAAAATTTTTATTTTGTTGATAAAAATTAATGACAAACCAATAAAACACAGTTGGAATTAAAATTTAAAGTAAATCAAGTTCAACAAATATAAAGAAGGGTACTGAAATCACACAAACAACTTCTAAAAAGACAAATTTACAAATTTTTTTGGTGAATGTTTCGGCAAGCATTGGACATTCTTCAATCTACTCATTAAACAGATAAATCCACACTCCAGATGTCGTGGCTTGGAGATCAAAACAAGCAGTGATCAACTGGTAATTTCTCCTTTTTCGTTCTGTTGGCCACCAGATCTGAAAACAAAAAGAAAACAAGCAACATAAAATGAAAGAAAACAAGCAACATAAAATGAAAGAAAACAGAGACCACCCAAAGGGGCCACAAAAGAAGCCGGCAAACCACGCAAGGTGATCACCAGACAAAAGAAGCACGATTGACCGACTCCATCATGCTTGTGAAGCCAAAGGGCTTCCAAGCACCAAAAAAGCTCAAGAAGCCGGAGGCTTCTAAGCATTGTTTTTGGATCCGGTCCGGTGGTTGGCCCGTTTTGGCCACCGAGTTCGGTTCAATCGGTTGAACCAGTTCACCCGACCAATTCAACCGATTGACTAAAAAAGGTAAACAGCTTTTTTAAAGAGGTGAGCAGAGAGGACGATGACTGGCGGAGGAGAGGACGATGACTGGCGAAGGAGAGGACGATGACTAGCGGAGGAGAGCACGATGACTAGTGAAGGAGAGGACGATGACTGGCGGAGAGGACGATGACTGGTGGAGAGGATGATGACTGGTGGAGAGGATGATGACTGGTGGAGAGGATGATGACTGGCGGAGGAGAGGCAGATCTGTTCTGTTGATGGAAGAAGGAGGTGAGCGGCGAAGGGCTGAGATCGGGGAGGTAGTTGTGGAGTCATCGACGGTTGGGATCGGGAAGGCAGTTGGCCGACGGTGACTTCGCCTGCTCTATTTCGTTTTAGCTTCTACATCTGGATTTTGCTTCTGCACAAACGAAGGGCTTGCTTTTTGGTTTTGTTTCTGCACAAGGCTGGAAGCCACTGACGAAGGTGGCTGAGATTGGGCAAGGAAAGG